TGTTCATAAGAACATTACTGAATTTTAAAAATATATAGGAAGAACAACATTGGCCTCACCAAAGATTCATTTCATTCAACACCAGAGGGTTCTACAGAAAAGGTCAGAGAACCAGCAAACACCACCTCTGACTGGAGATTTTACAGTATCCTTCCCCTGCCACGCCACCAAGCCACGCCCACAGAACCGGTAGTAAAAAAAATTGAATCCCACCACTACTACAGATGCTAGTGGAAAACCACAGCCAAAAAATAAATAAATAGAGAAATCCTTTCCTGTTTGATTCTTCTGTGAACAACTTTCAGATATGACAATAATGACCTATTGCACTATTCCATTTTAGAAGGAACTCCCTTATTATTTTCACTCATTCTTTCAAACAGTTATTTGAACTTAACTTCTCCATTTACCAAGTAGCTTTCAGATCCAAAACGGGCTGATAGAAATCCCATTAAGCACATCCAATATTTAGAGAATAACTTCAAGGAAGAAAATAAAATCACTCTGTATTCAGGATTTTCAATACCTGTAGGTTTCTCATAGGAAATGATTATTTTTGTTTATATGGCCTGGTTAAGTATATTATCCTTTTTTAGGAGAAGATACTAGAATGTATATGCCACAGATGCAAACATTCCTGCATTTAATAATATCCTATTATCTGTGAGAAAAGAAGAACAGTTACTGTTTTTTTCCAACAATATCAACCTTAGATTACAAGATTACATAGTCAACAGTAGCAAATCCTTGATTACTCATGAGCTACATAGTTAATTTAGTTGCCATAACTTTCTTTTCTGACTACAGTCTTACAATGGTCCTGTCGTTATGGTAAAGAATACACGAGTATTCATAGAATCAAAAAAAATCTGATTTTATTTTGCTTGGGTAAGTCTTTTTGTTGAGTTTCTGACCATTCATTTCTCTGTTCAAAGGTACAAACTCCATTCTATTTCTCCACAAGAAGTATCAACCACCACTTTTCCTCCACCTCCTCCTCCTTCTCTTCCTCCTCCTTGCAAATGCTAAAAATATCACCAAAATGTCTGATTGATTCTAAGCAAATTGTTCAACGTTACTATCGCAAGGAAAAAATTTACAAGGCAATTAGTAGTAAAAACATAACATGCTAAGCTAACTAACTGGAAAGTTAAGTCATTAATTATAGAGCTCTGTGTTATAAAAACACAGGACATAATTATTGAGAAAGACTTAAAGTGTTTTTATCTACTTTCTCACCATTTAGGTAAGATCCACTTACTTGCCCTAAAGAACAAAAAAGTATAAGTGTGTATCCAGAGGATTATCTTCATTTTGTAGTGTTTTATCTTGCTTGATGGGCAGGAAATTAAAAGGGCCAACTATTATGTGTCTTATATCTAAAGTAAATAAACAAAACACAGGCAATTCTCCAAATGATTGAGCAATGGAAATTATTTACATTGTTTTTATATATGAGCAGTGATGTAGAAGATATTGTGGAGTCAAAATTATATTTTAGAAATATGCTTCATATGTATATACTTTTTTCATCTTATCAGTGTGTATTTATTGTATGTAACATTAATGATAATGGCTGCCTTTTAACAACAGGTTTGTTTTTTAGACTGAATTTAAGAGGGATTTTTAAGTGGTACATTTAGTTACCTTTTGTTTATATAAATCTTAAGATATCCACTTTGCTTCTTAGCAAGTGCTGGGGCAGAACAGGCTTCAGCTCTACTCTACCAAGACTGAATGGCTCTGGGTTTAGGAATTTGTGGAACTGTTAATATTTTCAATCTTTGGTTTTGGATGGTGTTGAGCTACTCCAAACAGAATTTATACATAATCTGGTGGTCTTTCTGGACCCATTGTTCCTATTTGAAGAGAAGGAACAGTGGCTGAGTGGGTTTTGTACAACTTTACTTTTCTTCTATGGAGATTAGTCATCCAGGTCATGGTTGTCCCAAAGTTGCTTTTTCAAGAGGCAACTAGACTTTCTGGTTTTCCTTTGAAGACATTTCACTTCTCATCCAAGAAGCTTCTTCAAAGAAGCAAAAGAAAAACCAGAAAGTCCAGTTGCCTCTTAAAAAAGCAACTTTGGGTTTACTTTCCTTCATTTCCCTCATCCTTTTCTGGACCATGAGGCACTACTCATGTCACTGACACCTTTGTCATCTCCTGAAAGGATTACTGTATGACATGCCACATGAGACTGCCCTCAATATCTGGAAGCTGCAACTGGGTTCATAATGCAGCATCCAGGTGGACATGAACATCACCTTGGTATACTCAAACTGACTGGTATTTCCATGTGAAATTCAAAGTATTCCTTCTCACCTGTAGCATGGAGCCAAGTTATTTGTGGAACGGCTTCTCCCTAATTCTTTCTATTCAATGAAATGGAAATGAAGGTACAGAAGAAGGGAGAAAAGACTTTGAAAGCTAGTATCTTCCTGTTTACTTATTTGGGGCAGTCTTCATTTTGAGAAGGGAGAGTTTTGACCACTTAAGGTCAGGAATACATCACTCTCTAGTAGAGTCTCCATCTTAATTCCTTAAAATCATTTGTTTATATAGCAAACTCACATAAGAGTTTGGTACTTATGTAAGACATGAATAAGAATTAAGCATACTCAGTGGCACCAGCTTGGCAACAGGCCAGCTAGAATAATAAGAACTCCATTACCCTGCAATGTTTTGTGACAATTTCAGAGTATTTTGGCTCTTGCATTTCAATTTTTATGTCCCTACCTTGAAGAATGGCAGGCAACTGGATATCCTGTAGATCAGGGATCTCCAACCTTGGCAACTTTAAGATTTGTGGACTTCAACTCCCAGCTTTGCTGGCTGAGGAATTCTGGGAGTTGAAGTCTGCAAGTCTTAAAATTGCCAAGGTTGGAGACCCCTGCTTTAGATGGTTTCAACCAGGGGTCGCCAACCTTTTGGACCTCAGAGACCACCAAACTCATAATTTTAAATCCCGGGGACCACTAATATGAATTTTGACTGACAGTGGCTTGCTGACGTTGGTGAGTAACCTCTCTCTCTCCCTCTCCTTTCCGCCCCCCCAAACACACAGAGGCAGGGATGGGATTCAAATTTCTTAACAACCTGTTTGTGGCCATGGTCTAATTTGTGGGTGTGGCTTGGTAGTCATGTGACTGGCAGGAAAGTTTGCCAGATGAGGAGTGAGTGGGCGGGGAGGGTTCCTGCAGGCCATGTGGGTGGCACAGCCTGGATTAATTGCTTTGGGGGGGTGCTCTGGGGGGGGGTGCCTTTTCTCTGCGGACCACCAAAATTTTCTCATGGCCCACCGGTTGGCAACCTCTGGTTTAGACTACAACTTCCATAAAGCTCAAGAGCTTGTCTAATAGTTAGGAGATGTAGTCTGAAATATTTGAAATGTGTAAGTTGCCTGTTTCTGCTTTAATCTGTTCAAGAAGCAAAAGCCAGAAGATAGCTGAATGTTAATTCTAGTGGTCAGAATTATTTCAACATGTATGGTACCATAGTTAAGATATCCAAGTGATAGATCTACCAACCAGCTAAGATTATCAATAAACATGTTTATGCTGTTCTCTGAGACCATATACATTCACAGAAAAGGGAAACAGATACCTGTGACATAGTGAGACCAGAATTTTCGTACTACTTTCCAACTCTCTAGTGGGCACCTGGATTTTGGAGTCCAAATCTAGAGAAGGCCCATGGATGTTTAAGAAAATTGGAATTTTAAATGATTTGAATTAGGGATTGAGATATGGAGAATTCATGCCTTGAAATTCATACTGTGGATTCCTCCCTTTCTTTGAAAAAAACAAAACAAAACCCACTGCTGTAATAGAAGGTAACAGGATGAGATAATATGGCTGCATCTTATCCAGCCTTCTCTCAGACAGGCCTCAGATACAGTGGACCTACTGCTGGGGAAGCATGCACCCCAACTCCATTACACAACAGGCCTACCCAGCCTACTGACATTAACAGGAATTTTCTTCCCATCAAACGAACACAGAACTGGGTGACAGATAAAACACAGCTAGTATGATTCCATTCAAATGTCTACATTTATAGTTTACATCATCCCCATTTATTCCCTTGACTGGCATTTGCTTTGTTCCATGTGTAAAGCAGACTTATGATTTTGCTTGTTCTGGAAAATAACTGGCTTTTCCTGCTTAATCCAACACAAGCCATAGTGTGTAAAATTTATGGCACTTTTACCTTTTCCAGAAATTTGTGTGAAAGTGACCAACTCAATTTAGATTAACTATTGACAGATTCCTTGGGAACATATGTGTATTTCAGGAGAGAGTATTGTATATTGGACAGCTAATGCATGTTCTCAAAACGTTCTCCTGCTGCCCACTTACAGTCCAGTGTGAAAAATACTTTATTTTATTGTCATTGTGTCAGTGGCATACCAAGTTGTTGATATAGCAGAGGAAATCTTTTAAAAAATGTCTAGTTAATAAAGGTACTTTCCCTTAATTGGAAGCATGTCTGAACTCTGCTGAAGATGTGATTACCAAAAAGGTTTGAATAAGCTATGTTTTCTTTATAAGACTGACCTTGCTATATACAGTACAGCCTAATGAAACAATATTTTCTGGGATATTAAGCCCTAGAGTGATTTGGGGATATTTTAATTTTTGCTGCATGTAATATTTGAACCCAACTAATTGCAACATGACTTTTCATGCTGTAGTACTACAGTCTTGAAATCAAGTATCATAAAAGCTACAAAGGAAGACTTTCAGAGAAATGGCTATTCGTATTTTAGGGAGTGATTCCTCAGTTTAGATCCATAAGATCAGGATTCAAATTCAGAGAGGGAGTGAGGGGGAGAGGGAGGGGGAGAGGGAGGAGGGGGATTTGAGATGGAATATCAAATCCTCCAGATCTCCTTGGGGGAAATATACATAAAATGGGATTGATTACAGTTTGACTAGAGCTTTTTCCAATACTAAAATAAAAAACAAGACACTTGGAATTGAAAAAGTTAATCATGTTTATTACAAAATTTAAATCCTGATCAATGGAACATACTTCTGAGCAAGTCTTCAAACCCAGGTTACAGGCAACAAGATGGGAAATCACTTATCTGCATATCCACAAGTTTAATACACAAATATTGTATAATCTCAGTCTTGCTCTTTTGAGGGATTGTTTCCAGGATTTATTTGTTTGCTGCAAGATAGACTCCAACCCATATCCGTCAGAATACATGCTATCTGCTTTTGCTTTCTACATTGAAAGGAGGGGAAAAAAGGAAAATGCATCATGTTCGTATTCTTTACAAAAGGATACAGATATGGGCCAAAATCTGAAAAAAAAAATTAATTCTATATACTTTTAATAGCAAGACTGTACTGTCGTGCTGCTCCCAACAGGTATAAAATAAGTGGATGTCAATGTAAAAGGCTCCTGCCCATCCCTTCCTGACACATGATCCAGGTTTTTGCCTGCTATCAATTCAGGATGGCTCATTTGCTTTTGGTTTCTTCTGAAGGATCCTGCCTTAGCAAAGTCTCAACAGCAATTTCATCTGTGGTTCAGTTGACCATAGCCTGGGTAATGCACTACCAAAGAGGGCAACAAGATTTTCTACATCTTAGCTCCTCCGATTTTTTTTGTGATAATTTTAGTTAATTTTTGGCACGTATTTTTTTTGCATCCATTCATTACCTGATTAGGGCTGTAAAATATCAGACACCAGGTTCTCTTTGTTGCTATCCCAATTTTTGCTAGTCCTTGGATCTGGTAGTCCTAAATTGATGATATTAAGTGTGAACAGTTCAGCTTATTAAGGTGAGAGAGCCAAGCAGTGGTACAGTCCAGCTTGCACCCATGTACTACAATCCTAAATAACTAAGGATTGTAATCTCCTAAAATACTGAAGTCAAAGACATTATTGAAGGAAGCAAGGTATACAAAATTCTGTTTCTTGGAATAGAACCGAGAAACAGCACATTTAATTACACTCATTTAATTTGCTCAAATTAATACTAATAATAGGCATTAAATGCACATCAGATTTAAAACACACCTTCTAATGCTAAGAATACTTTGGCAGGCTATGAGCCTTCAGAGAATGTCCTAGGGATCAGATTGTGAGAGAAGCTGACTATTTAAACTAACTTTCCCAATACTTACTTATCAGTAGGTGACACTTACTGGAATAAAGCATGTTCAAACACTAGATCTAAGCCAGGCAAAAGCATTCATGTTTTCTCATCTGATTATCTTTGGGATCTTTTTCAATATTTACTGCTTGGAATACTTTCCAGGTAAAAGAATGAGGCCAAAGGGTTGAAAACTATGGAGATTTGCTACGGAGTTGTCAGGTCTCATTTCACACATTATAGAATCTACTTCCTGGCCCCACCCAGGTAATCGGCCTCTCATAAGCACACTGGTCCAGGGAAACTAGGACAGATGTAGTGGGGTCTCCTTTATGGGAAAGCCATTCCAGGAGCTTAGCTGGGACCTCTAGTTTCAAGATTACCCAGCCACATTAAGACACACTGTGATTGATTTGGAGTTTATGAGAATATTGTACTGTAATGTGCAAAGTGAGATTGTAAAGTTGTGTGTGCAAAGTTAGCGGGGATATTCAACCATTCATTGCATGTTATTTTCTGAGGTAACAAAGTCTCTGAAGAATGACACAACTCCACAACACCCTGGTGTAAAAACCACCTGAAGGATTTTTTTCTTTTGGGTTTTTATTGCCAAACTGTTCCAAGTCAAACTTTAATCCTGGCGCTTTAAATCCGAGCCCAACCCATTCTGTACAAAACCTGAACAAGGCAAGATATGCCTGTATTCCCACGAAGGGAGCCTCTTGCAAGAAAAAGCCTCGCGGCCTTTTTCAGAAACTCGGGAGATCCTTCCCTCGTTTCAGGTTCTATAAATGGCTATTAGAAAAGCGCCGTCAATAAATTACAATAAATAGGATTAGCAGGGTACACCTGCCCCGCCCTCACTCGCCTGGAGACGCTGGACTCACAACTCGGGATACGTTCCGGCCCCACCCGCGCAATAATAGGCAGCGGCGTTAGCCTCCGGGCCTTCGTGGCTGGCGTAAGGGAGCCCCAGGTCGCCCGGGCGGCAGGCGAAGGGCAGATATTGCTCAAATTCGGCGCGGTCCACATCTGCCAGCAAGTCCACGTCGTGCGGGGGCAGCTGCTCGAGCCCCGCGGGGGCTTCCGCTCGGCGACGGGGTTGCTGCTGCTGCTGCTGCTGCGCGTGGTCCGGGGCGGGCGAGGAAGGGTAGGAGGCCAAGGGCACCTGGAAGCGACTACGGAAAAGGCTGACGCCGACATTGGGACTACCACCGTTGTTGCCATGGCCGCCGGCAGGAACGCCGTTGCACGGATACTCGGACCCGGGCGGCGTCGGGTAGCCGTAGGGGCCCAGCAGGCAGCCACCTTCCTCCGGGTGGGGAGGCGGGAAAAAGACAGGTTCTGCGCAGGCGCCGCCCTGGGATTCGGGCTCCGGCGTAGGCAGGCTGTAGTTCCCGAAATGGGTGCTCAAAGCCGACAGCGGGAGCGGCGCGCAGTCCCGGTAATGAAAGCTCCCGCCGGCGTAATTCGGCTGCTCTGCGTACGAAAGGCCGAGCCCCTCGCAGCTGCCTGCATTTCCCGCTTCTCCGGGCAGGCCCATCTGGTGATGCTGAACTGGGAGGAAGCCGCTCCCACCGTCCGCGGCGCCGTCGTTGCGTTTAAGGCGCTTGACTTGCTTCCTGCGCCGCGGCCGATACTTGTAGTGGGGGTGGTCCCGCATGTGCTGCAGCCGCAACCGCTCCGCCTCCTCTACGAAGGGGCGCTTCTCCTCCTGGGTCAGCGCCCGCCACGACTGTCCTGTCAAGGCAAAGGAGAAATCGGAGTTTTAGCCGAGCGAGCGGAAACCGAGGGCCAAACTGTGGCTGGGCTCGTGGGTGGTGGGAGGAAATAATCCAGTTCACTGGTTTTGGCGGGGAGTCGCTTTTCCCCTCAGACCCGCCTGCCTTCAGGGGAGTAGGTGGTTTATTGTGGCACGACTTGATAACTAGTGGTTAAAACTTGTGGCCTCTTCCTGTAACCGAGGAAGTGACCGCGGCTCGTGTTTTCGGCTACAATTAGGTCCCCTCTCGATCCCGCCCAGCTGAGGCCGTAGTATGCGAAAAAAAAAAAAAAAGGATGCGAAAACCCAAGGAAGTGGGCTACCAAAGAAAAGCCAATCACCACAAGGCGTTTTTCTTTCTAGAAACTTTCCTGAAGTACATTTCAGTTCGTGGCAGTAACTAAGCCGTTTTTCGGCATCACTACTAGGAAAGCAACGACGAGTAATGGCCGGCTGCAAGCTAGATTATTTCATTCGCCACGTTCTGGTTCTTCGAATGGCCTATCTATTAAGGAGCTGCCGCGAACAATCTTTAGCGGAGCATGAGAAGGCTGGCAAGGATTTTAACCGCCTGTTGGGGGAGAGAGAGACTATTCCCGGCAGACTTTTAAGAGCTTCCCTAAAAGCTTGCCGGAGAAAGTCATCGTCGATTCAGGGGATTCAGGACCCCTGGATTAGCGTCGGGTTGCGCAACGCTCTGTAAAACTCACAAGCCAGTCTACTGGGTCACGAGGCTGCTGCTTTAGTTCCTGTACAAAAGTTCCCGCAGTCTCACTTCCGAAGACAACAGGGGTTATTCCGCGACGGGCCGGTACATAGAAAAATAATAGTGCGCAATATTTGGGTGGCACACAGAAAAGTAATACCGCGCAGTATTTCTCAGCTTCCTTTCGCAGCGATTTCCCGCTCCACCGACGCCCATTGGACTTACCCAGCATCTTGCTAAGCTCCGCGTTGTGCAGATCCGGGTTCTGCTGCGCTAGCCGCTTGCGTTCGTCCTTAGCCCAGACCATGAAAGCGTTCATGGGGCGGCGAATGCGGGTCTCCCCTTTGGCCCGGCCCGAGGCTCCCTGATGTACTTGATCGGCCGCCGCTTCGCCTTTGCCTTTGCCGTCGGTTAAGGGGCTCAGCGATTCTGCCCACTGACACTGCATCATGAGGGGAGGGAGGGAGGACCGTCCTTGCGCCTGGTCGTCGCTACTGGCGTATCCAGCATCGGGGCTGCTCATTTCCACAGAGCTCCACCGGCCCGGTCAGTGTCGGGCCCCTCCGGGTGCCTCCAAAAGGCGAGCAGCCGAGCGAGTTAAGCAGTTCTTGCGCCTCGCCGTTCGCTGCAAATGAAGCTTGGAAGCGCCTCTGATGCGAGCTCAGAGCTCCGACAGTCCTTGAGTAGCTGGCGGCTGTCACCGCGCTGCTCTGTTTAAACTGAGCAATAACCAATCGGGCGGCGTGGGTGTGGCCAGAGAGCCTGAGCGGGTGAGGAGAGGACCAGTTTTATCTGCAATTCACCTGTATGGGATTGAGCCAGAAATAACCTTTTTCAGCGAGGAGTGGATTTTTCCATGACCTGAGTCTACGTGGAAGTAAATTCCATTGAGATCAATGGGATCTACTTTCAAGTAAGTAAGAGACTCGAAAAATGACTTGTTAGAGCTGTCAAAAGAAAGGGGAAAATGAAAGGTTTATCCGTGAAAATATGTTTGTTTGTTTGTGTTAGATAGTTTGCTTCTACGTGCACGGAGGGAAGATTAAGCACTTGCGACCTCTTTCGACCGTTTCCTGTCTGTTGGACCACGTTTCCCAGACAGGATATGTTCTAACAAATACCATATAAGCAATACTATTTTAAGAACGGGCTTATGGAGTGGACTAATTACTTTTTAAATATTGCTTTCTTTACAAATACTGCGGTCGTGTTTAATAATAATGTGTATATTGTTAGTATGCATATTCACATTTTGGAATATTCTCATACATAAATATGGCAATTACTGTAAACTAATTTGTCTTGGTAATTATTCCATTTGTAAATGTCTCGATTTAACCTGTTTGCTCCTTTAATTGTTGTTAATTCTGATTATTACAGCACAGGAATTCGTTCTAGGTTGAAGCAAGTCTAAACAAGCTAAGATGGCGCAGTGCGTTGTCATAATTAACACATGAAATGAAAAGGGTTTTAGGACATGTATATACCTTTAACATGACCTGAACAAGCTGTTGGAATTGACTTAACCTTGTCCGGATATAGTAAATCTGATGTCTAAAAAAGTGAAAATACTTTAAATAATCTGGAAGTAGCTGATACAGATTTTATGTTCTTCCAAGCGATTTCAGCTTTGGCTGTGCCTTATACAGTGGTAGAAAGTTCTGTTAAAATAGCTATACTGTGAACCTCATGTATTACTTACCTGCACACAATGTTTGAATTGTGTTGTGATATTACTAAACAATTCACTTTGATTTACATCATAACATTTACAGGTAAGTATATTAGTCTACTCCTTATTTTAGCTAGCAACTGAAGGTTGCCATTCTAAATATATTTAATAGGGCAGCCCCAGTGCGATTTATTCACAGATAAAGACACATCAGAATGCACTCTGGTACTTGAGGTTGAAACTTTATCATAGGAACAGGTAGCTTTCCAGGTAGGTTCAGAAGTTTTATTTTATTTTTATTTATCTATTGCTGGCGTTTGATTGTTTCCTTGAAGTAAACTGGGTTCCTATATAGAATAGTATTAATCCTTGTGGCCCACAGGAAATTGTAATCCTAATCTTAACTCCAAATTCATGTTTGCTATTGTGGGAAAGTGGATTAGCTTAGTTGGAACATCGGTTATAATCCTCAAATGACTCTAAACCTATGGATAAACTAAATGAACTAAAACCCTGTATCTGAAAATTCCTTACACTGTACATTTTTTTTAATTTTGCAAAAGCATTAATGTAATGTGTGTGCTGTTCGAACTTAACTTCTGTGCAAAATAAATTGACGTTGAGATCTTCCTTTTCTGAACGGTGGATTTCCCCCCTCCCTTGGCTTCAAGTTTCCCCTCAAGCCATAAAAGTGAAATGACGGTTTTAAAACTAAGACTTACCCCTTCCCCCCCTCCCTCCCAACGTCTCCCTTCCTTGGCTGCCTCTTCAATAGTGCGAAGCGTCCTTGGAGCCTTCCGTCGTCGAAACACTTACAACCCCTCCGATCACGAGAAAGCCTACGGCGACGTCCTCAGGGAAGAAGAGCGGAGCCGTTTGAAAGTAGCTGCGACTCCCGCGGCAGCTACGGAGGAAATGGCCTGGCCGCGCCAATCTGACTTAAGCGATTGCGCCCCAATTGGTAAAGATCAGCCCCAAACCACAACTTTCCACAGAAAAGCCAGAAAGCCGATTCAGACTAGCCTGTATCCGGGTTCCGCCAAGGGCTGCGTTCTCACGCTCCCTTCTTGTTTCTGATAAAGGCCACTTGGGGCTTTCCCACAGCGCGCTAAGTTTAACTTCAGGGTTGTTAGAGGCTTCACAAAGCCAAGCGAAACCTGCTTCTCGTTAGATTATGGGGTGACACCCCTCCCCAAAGTTACATCAAAAAGTGGAAAGCTGATCTATTTGCCCCCCTTCCCCTTCTACCGCACGGACGGAAGACGGCAGGTGAGCCTCGCGCCTGGGAATCCCAATAGTGGGTCCTCGGCCAAGATCCGAAAGTCGAGATTTTTGTATTTGCCGGTTTGCAGCGATCTCTGGAAAGGGACTTTATTCCGGGCAGGTCTGGCTACAGAGAGGATCTTCTGACCCTCCCTTTCAAGCCCTGACGGCGAAACCGGTGCCTTTCGCCGGCCAAGCCACCCCCTCTGTGCAACTTTGCACCTGTATTTTATTCTAAGGAACAGCATAGGACATCCGGTAAACGCGGCGTTTGCATTTCGTTGCTCCTAGAGAGAAAAAGGTTGGGCTTTGGAATTCGGGCAGGAACTCTAAACCGGCAAAGAATTGGGGTCTTTGGCAGGACCCTCAGTCAACTCGGCCCTATAAAGTCACGGAGGCCGTTTGCTTCTAACGTTTCAGTACTCTGAATCTCGAATAAACTAGCATGAGAGCGTCGCAAAGGTGCTTTTTCCAAAAGGGAACCGGACTTGCTTGGGTTTTTCTTTGAAAACGTTTCGCTTCTCATTCAAGAAGCTTTTTCAGGTCATAGACAATTAGCATGGGAGAGAACCTCAATAACTTCCATGGGAAGCAGGAAGCAAGAGTTTTTTTTAAAAAAAGGAGTCGAGATGGCATGGGAACAGTACAATAGAAACCCATTATTTTCTTTTACCTGAATAAAGCTTGGGATACAAGTAAAAGGGAAAAAAAAAACCTTGGGGTTTCGGTTGTGCGCCGGTTACCACCATTTTGGCATTTTTAAGAACCCCGCTTTGCCCTCCTGGCTCCAGGGATGAACCCATTGGCCGTAGGCTGTTTCTCTCGTGTAAATTTGAAGTCAGAAGCATCGAAGCCATTAACCCCGGGTTTATTTTTATTAAACACGTAAGCAATGATAATCAATTGAAATAGATAATGATGTGGGCATTAATGTCCACACCACTTTCGCTCTGCCTTGCCCTGCCTTGCTTTTCCTCCGCTCACAGATTAAGTCCATTGCATCCCGGACCCCGTCTGTAAAGAACTCCCTAACGAAATTTTGCGAGAAGATACTTCAGTCAGTCAATCAATCAATCAGAATAGACCTAGAAGGAACCGCGTCCAACTCGCTGCTCAAGCAGGAGACTGCCCTTTCAGACAGGAGGCTGTCCAATCTCCAGTCATTCCCCCATCCCACCCCGCAGTGATGAAGCCCCTACAACTTCTGAAGGCCAGTTGTTGTATTGGTTAATTGCCTTCACTCTTAGGAAGTTTCTTCTTGATTCCAGGTTGCTTCTCTCCTTGATCGGTTTCCATCCATTGTTTCTTGTCTTGTTTTCTGATGCTTTGGAAAATAAATGGACCCCCCTCTTCTTTGTGGCAGCCCTTCAAATACTCTCTCTCATGTCATCGCTAGTCCTTCTTTTTCTCTAGACTAGCCATGCCCAATTCCTGCAACCGTTCTTCATATGTTCTTTCATGTATTTTTTACTCTACTTGGTCTATTCTAAGTAAAGAAGTGTAACCCCCCCCTCCCGCCCTCCTTCTTTCCTCTCCCCGAAAGCCTCCTGGCCGGGCGCCTTGCCTGTAAGAAAGAATTCCTCTGCCAGACTGGGGTGTTTAATTGAGATCGGCGGGATTGGAATAACCTCGAGTCGGAATCGTGCCCACATCGTGTTCAGTTCGTGCATCAAACCCCCCACCCCAATCCCTCGAAAGTTATCGGTTGGAGCATCAAGGTAGTGTTAGCAGGATCCCCTCCGCCGCCCCCTCCGAGAGCCTCCCGTTCGAAGTGGCCGCTGGCCTTGGCCTTTTCACACCGAAGTCCCGCTTCTCAAGTGGAAGGGTTGCAACTGGGGAGAGGCGAGAGACCCCCCCCCCCCCCGCAGGCGATGCCTTTCTGAGTCTTCTGTTTGTTTGTGCGGTTTTTTTTTTCTTTCCCAACCGCTTTTCCAAGCCTGGCGTGGGTTTTGGGGGAAGGGGGGGGGGAATGCGGTTCTCTCGGCAGCGTTATCAGAGGCGACCACAAATGCCACATGAAACGCAGCAAACATCCGGCGCGCTTCCTGAGAGCCGCCGCTAGTTCTCAAGACAAGCGAGAGAGAAAAGAGGGGAGGGCTCGAGGGGGGCAAGTGGGTGGAGGCGCCCAGTTCTCAGGAGATCGACGCGCACACACACAAGGAGGCCAAATTCAGCGGCGCAGGGCGTAGAGATGCAGACACGCTCCTATTGTTCGTGGGCGCCTTTGCAGAGACTTAGCTTCGCCCCCGCTTCCCCCCCCCCCGGGATTTTAAGTGGGAGAGTTAAAATTACACACGCACACCTTACGCCAGCGTTTTACATCTGCACCACCACCCCGCACACGTACGCACGCCCGATAAGAAGGGCGAACCTTAAGGCAAACTGAGAACTGGAGGGGAGAAGGAATGGAATGGTCTGAAAGTTTCCTATTGGAAAATGCCGTCGACTAATCACCCTACTGGGCGCTGCCCTATAGAACTGGCTTTGTGCGCAGGCTGCTGAGCAACAATGATTTGCCTGCAACTTGTTCCAAAAATATCCTATTAGATGCAACAGATCTCGGGAGATCTGAGGAGGGTCCCTAATTTATATTTATTATTTAATTTTATTATATTTATTAATTTTATTATATTTTCCGTCAAAGCGCCCTTCCACTGACAGGCAAGGCTTGCCAATCCCGCACCTGTCCTTCGATCGTTTCTTTGACACCCACCTGGAAAGCGGAAACAGCAG